TCCCGTAGCTGTTCCGCCTGACAGCGTGCTTGCTCTTCTTGGCGGCGCGCTTGCTCTTCTTTCAGCTCCCGCAGCTGTTCTGCCTGACAGCGCGCTTGCTCTTCTTGGCGGCGCGCTTGCTCTTCTTGGCGGCGCGCTTGCTCTTCTTGGCGGCGCGCTTGCTCTGCCATCATTTGCTGCAGCTGTAGCAGAAGATCCACCTGCACAGGCTTGGCTTCTGCATCGCTGGTTTGAGCTGCAGCACCCTCTTCCCTCACACGCTGCGCTTCTGACATTGCACGGGTACTCACTCCTCTTACGTCCTGCGGCACTAGCGGCATTTTTCTCCTATCCCACTTCTGACACCAAATGTTACGTGCCTGACGTCACGTTCCTGACTATGCGGGCTTGGGTTACGGGATTGGATGAAATGAAAAACTAATACCGGTTTTCAGACTTTCTATTGCACTTAAGTTACAGCGTCCACGGAGTTAAGTTATCGGCGTTCTTCTCCAGCAGAGTCCGGCCGACTGACACAACTTTGCCGTTCACGCTGACTTAACTCACTTAACTGACTGCACTTCACTATTTCACTGCACTTCACTATTTCACTCACTTTTCTTCTTTTTCACTTCTTCCTTTTCTTCCGAATCGCTTTAGACTTAGAACTCAACTGCCAGCGGTGAGCCGCAGTTCCGCTTATATACCCCCGGTCAGGTTCTGGAACATTCAATTTCGTTATTCTTTTTGATTGTCATGACTCCAGAACCTTCCAATAATTTCGTTATTCATTTTTATTTATTCTCCTTCTCGCTCTTTGATTTTTCATTACTTTCACACCAAAAGCTTCCAGAAAGTTCCACAAAAACTTCCATCAACTAAAAAACTTCATGCTTACGGCGGGACTCGAACTCGGGGTCTCTCTGGTGTAATCCACACGCCTTACCGATTACACCAACTCGTGTTGACAATTCACGACGAAATTTACAATCTCTAGGCAACGTTTGACAACCATCCATTGACGTCATGATGTCAAAGAGTTTGAACCACTTTTCCGTCACAGTTATAATGCATATCTCGATGCACATTCTATTTCCACAGTGTCCGTACTAACGTACTATCTGCTTGTTCTTTGTCTGTTGATACCAATTGTGTCAATGATCACGATAACTCGCTTGTTGTCTTTAAACACATTGAACTAGTCGCTAGTATCATTACTAAACAACATAGATCTGTCACTGTGACTAGTTCCCGCTCCTCCCAACAATGTGGGCACTACTTTACCTGTTCACACTAATTGTTGTCAGATTAATACACGTAATGATACACACAAATTCCAACCTTCGCATGACAATAATTAAATTCGTTTTCGTTTGCCTGTTAATATCAGAATTATTAAATTAATTAATACGTTATTGGACCGGATAAATTGAATTTGAAGTATACCATTGTCGCCTCGTGCTTGTCTGGTACAAACATCCATTTTTGTTTAATAAGAGATAAACTGACGTTCAGCGTTTTGTTGTCGCTGTCCGCTCGGTACAGCCAGCGATGACGTTTCATGATTGTTTTCTCGTTAAAATCATTTTCACTCGTTCGGCAAAACGTTCAGTAATTGCGTCGTAAAGTTGTCATCGGCTGTTGTCCGGCGCCGAGCACGGTCGCGCGTATCATTCAGTGAGCGCGGGTAATTAGCGGCCGAGTGCTGGAGAGCCGGACGAGTGCCGGACGAGTGCCGGACGAGTGTCGTACGATTGCTGTCCGAGTTGGCGATGGACGTCAACAGCGCGCGAGACGAATTCTAGCTCATGTAATATGGGCCTCTGTTTGCCCGCGCAACGCCATTGTAGAACAGCTGCAATTTGTTGAAATGTAGGAGAGCCATGCTTCGGTACAAATAGGTTGGCTCGACCGAATTGATAGCACACCTTCACAGAAAGCCGGCGTGAAACAACCACAGCGTTGTATTTCGCCCTGACAAGGTTCCCGGAGGAACAATTATTATTCTTCCCCTCCATCAATCTCTAAATCTGCCAAACTCTAATTCCCAAAAGTTCGGCGAAGCACTCATAATTCCTCCGTTGCTGTCCATAGGTGGCGCTGATTGCTCACCATCACCATAGTGAGCTTGCTTGCCGTCTTATCACATAAAATAAAGTTCACCACCGAAATAAGTATTAGTGCAAATTGGGTATTTCATACTTATTCATATAGAGCCAAACAAAAACCATACAGAGTGACATCTAGTTTATTGACCACATAGGACCAGTGAAGTGTGTGGAAGTTACTATAACTGAATTCAATGATGTGGTCATACAATCAGCGTTTTTTTGCAGTGAGGCAATTGGGTAGAAGAGTCACTGGGACCCTCTCACAGGTACCCTCCGAATGTAGGGGACGCGTCACATCACTAGCCGACAGTCAAACAGACGCTAAACTGATATATTTAGTACATTGTGGAAGTATAAGCAGTCGCTAATACTAACAGTGTTTTTGCTGCCTGGTGATACATTTAAATACATAGGCACAATACACAAATGCAGTGCGGTTGGAGTAGAGTGATTTTTAGTCAATTTGACACTTCCTCTCGCCCCACTCAGGGCAAAAGAAATTATAGGACGATATTCCTTTTTCTTCTTCAAAACAACGGCGCGTTAAATAATACCAGTATCTTTTGTATTCGTTGTCGTTAAAGTTTTCTGCCTTAACGCCCGTGAACAGTACACGTCCGGAAGGAGTCAATGTTTGTTGGAGTAGGTCACTGAAGGTGGGATGTCGTTCAGTTTGACGCCTGAGCCCACATCAACCGAATGAAAATAGTGTTACCTTTGATATTGCGACCGACCAGGCGTTCCCAGCACACACTATATTCTAGCACGCGACAGACGTCCTTTGTATACATCCGTGATTAAATTTTAATTAATAGCAGCCCTTCGTTAAGGGTTGATGTGTATTGACAGCAGCCCCCCCACCCCTCCCCGCGCACCGCAGCCCGCTACCCCCGTCAACTTGACGGAAGGGTAGTTATCGAGCGGGAAGGGTTGTTTTAAAATTATCGCGGCGGTGTTGCCAATTTAATAATGTACGCGTTTTTGGGCTGGTAATCCCGTGTTGGGTTGCGAGAGATTATTTGCCGCGTGAGTGGAGTACGTGTACGTACTTATAATTTGAGTTGTTTGTTGTATTAGACAATGTTTTATTACTTTGTTCGTCGGAGAATTAAATGTCTGACACATCCCCTACTCCGTCGGGCCCACAACAATCTGACTGACTGAACCGTCACTGACTGTACACTGCTGCGTGTGATGACTGTTGCTCGCCCCCTCCCCCTTCCCTTCCCCCCTCCTTGTGTACAGGTGTCTGAGTTTGATCGTCAAGTTGTTACTTTTGACATTAAGACTCAGTTAGTAATTAGCTTATTGTAAAGTTAAATAAGCTTCGAGTAGGTATTCATTAAAGTCAGCAAAAACTCGTAAGTTACGCAAGTTGAAAGTTTGCGTCGAGTTAGACAGCAACTTACAAACTAAGCACTGAACAAATAAGAAACGTTTTCATTACACGAACAGGGGAGCGGCAGACAGGGCAGGCAGGGGGCTTTGGGGGAAACTGGCGGGAACTGGCGGGAACATACTGACGTATGTGAACTTATAGGACAGTGAACATAGATTTACAAAAAATCTTGTTGTTCAAAAAAAGTAGTCTGTAAGATCAGGGTCATCTCATGTATGGGATGCATACTTTCTGATTATTTAGACACCGTTAACATACGGTAAAAGAAAACATCGTGAGGAAACATGGACTTATAAATATCTAATTATAAATTTGAAATCGCCAATCAGTCTTGAGCTGGGTGGTTAATGTTCAAACCTTCTCCGTGTGAGAAGAGGTGTGGTAGTGAAAGTGCGAGTAGTGGTGTGCAGTATACTTGTGTCCCCAAACTGTACACATATTGTAATAATATTCACTCCACGCGAGACCATTGATGTATCGCTACGTTTGTGTATTGGTAATCAAAGCGCAGCACTCGAATATGTTTCCCTCATTGTTTTCAATTACATTGCAAGTGTTTCGCGGGAAATATTCATGTATTTAATTTGTCCGACATTGTGTTGAACTGAAATATATTTACCGTTTCAGTTCCATTATAAAAATATATCCTAAATGTATTGTTTGTATATTAATTCCATATACCTATATTATATTGTTATGCCATTTTAGTGTTTAAAATCCCTTATATGTATTTAGTGATTGTTTAATAACCAGTTCCGAGTTTAATAATAGTAAATAGAAATAATTACACAATATATAATAAGTATTTCACACAAATGATTCATTTAAAATCCAGGAATTGAGAGACTATAACATATTACTTAATGCTCAAATCTTCTCTGTCTGAGAAGAGGCCTTTGCTCCGCTGCGGTTACTTATAGGTTGATGATGTGTGACCGAATGAACCTTAGGAGAAATGCACATATTGGTAATATATATGTATAGCTTGTATTGAATTTGAATGACACGCGTGCCGGTTGTCAGTCCGCGGACGACATGTAAGCGAGGCAGTGCGCGCTGGGGAGGTACCTCGGTACCACGAAACAAACAACAAATGAAATTAATTAGCCGTCTCAGCCGGCGCGGGCGGCCGCACCTGTCTTGTGCGCTTATATTAATGTTATACCGCTCCACCGAGCGACGTCATAATGAGTTTTCTGATGAACCTCATCTGTTTAATGCTCTTCACACTTCCTGCGCGCCTAGTACTTCATGTCACTGCGAACTGATACCATGGCAATCTTATGTGCCTATTATGACTTCCTACAATGTATGGAGACGAGTTATAATATATAAACCCATAATTATTTATTTCATATCTCCCGACTCTCAATTATACTATATTTTGGCTTGTCATGCATCAACTGGCAGTGAGTGTTCATTATCCCAAAAGGCGGCAATAGGCACGCGTTAGGTCAGCCTGGTGGATTCCAGACACAGGTTTCACTAATTTCTGCATTTGCTTGTTACAGTTGACCCGGCAAGGCGGCGGCCATCACTTGAAACTTATCTAAGGTTAGTGTAACGTATATTTTGTTGTGTCCATAACCTTGTTTATGGAAGGGAACTCGATCGCTGGGTCCCTAGTATAATGTTACTGTATCGACACGGAACCTAATCTGTTGATCTACTTAAGTTGAAACAAATCTAATTATCTGCGACCACTTAATTAATCTACTTAACACCGTAAAATAATCTCTTAAACACGAGATAACGACTTCATAAAGCTCACTGGACGAGGAAGCTCTTTTCATTTTACCTCATTTTGTATTAATTACTTGAATATAAAAACTACACCCAGACGTAGTGTCAAGAGCACGAAAACGATACTGTTATGGACCGGGACAGTATTTTTACAATGTAGTAGAATGTACTGTAGCCTTTGTATGTGTACACTAGCTCCTATCCTTCTCTGCACGGGAGTGTAAATACCTCGTTGTCAGTCATTTGTTTTGTTAGCCAATAGCTATGGAATCAAAAGCGGTCCTTTTACTCGATAGTCCTGTCTAGATTTAAAATTTTCTTTGATAATAAGCTTAAATATAGTTATTGAAATTGGCGCATCTTTCCCCGAATGATACCAGACCGACATTGCTATTCATTTTTAGATTAAATGAAAGAAATTTTAAATTATGTGTAAAGAAAACTTTATGTAGAAAAGCATACTACACACTGAATGATTACATTGTAGATAAAGATGCTTGGAGACATGCTGGTCCTGCTCCACAGGATAGCAAATCTACACCAAAATAAATAACGTTCCAGTGGATTTTGCTTGAACGGGACTTCTTCATTTTAGTGAAATTGCATTACATTGTATAACTATAACTTGATAAATTTGTAAATGTGAGTGCCCTGTAACCTATTATAATTGGTTAGACTAGCAGAATGTCGGTCCTTATAACAGCTTGGAGTTGTCATGCTCACTGAAAGGTCACACTGGCGGTGGCATGGGCGCTGGATCGCTTAATTCCCTATAATATGGTTGAGTTGGGCGATGCTGGTGTACGTGTCATGCTCGAGAACGAGCGCCGTCAGTTGGGACTGGTCAGCTCCGGACTGTCTATTGTCCTTAAGGTTACTTTATTTTTATATTTGATTAAATATTAGTGTTACACTGTTCTCACATAATTGAACCAACTGTTTGTAAAAAGAATCTGTATGTGAAACTGATTTAAAAAGAGTAACCATGGAGTTTCTTGCTCGTTCTTCTCCATCGGAATCTACACTTTAGGACGAGCAAATAGCTTCACTAAGAGGACTGACCGACAGACTGACAATATAGCTTCAAAATTTTTGTTTGACGTTCAAAAGTGCCTGTAAAGGTCTAATTGAAAAAAAAAAAGAAAAAAAAGATGTATAAGTCAGCTAACAGTTCTTCCGTTGTGCCAGTAACCACACCAACTACGCGGTCGAGTATAAGAAAGAGCCTTGCTAACTCGAGCTCCCTAGTGAGAACAAATATCGCGCGGAGCTTCATTTTTCTCTATTTATCTTAATTTTTTTGTTGTTTATTTATCGTGGGAATAAAAGGTTTGAGTGTTTCTGAGACAGAGTCTGTAAGGAGTGCTCGTAATTTACTTATCTATCATTGAGTCGGGGCCGAGACTACACCGCCCCCCCCTCCCTCCCCCCGCGCCTTGAGAGACATCGCTTACGTTAATCATTTGTGTTATCTTAGGACAAATACTGTTACTGCTAAAGATTACAGCTTTTATACAAACAATTTTCTGTTTTTAGTTTAAGTTCTAAGTTCTTTGTTAAAACGTGTTTTGACATTAAACTGATTATCCATGATCCACTTCTTCTACCAAAAACAAATAATTTGCACACATTTATTTTTCATATTTGTATCCGCCGCGTAGTGCTTCCTCCTGTAAAAGACTCGTATTTCACCGCCATCACATCGGCCCTCCACACTTAAGATTAAAACTTTCCACGTAAATTACGACAACGATAAATTTCCGAAATCCCTGATCTTATCAAAAATTTCCTTCGAGGGATGTGGTAACCAATTTGAGCTGACCCCGAATGTGCGTACCTTCCTCATAATTCAGGATTACACGACCCTAATGGGTTTACAACCTTTTTAACTGGCCGACTTAGAAATTATATTACTAGGAGATTATCAGGGCGAGTGGTGATTTCTTAAATTATTGATATAATTATAGATTGCTTGAGATCTAGATTCTTTTAATATAAGTAGGTTTCGTGACCGCGAACAATAATAAGTGTGAATCGAAACATTGGAGAATTCTTCAAGGAACACCACCGTTTGCTATTCCCAACAAAGCGGGTGCGACATTCAAGAAGTACCAGGGCCGCAGACGTGGCGCGGAGCCAACACGAGCCTTCGACTCCCTGGCACTCTGCCAACTACATCGATCGCTTATTGAGCAGGTCAATGTTCGCCCTTCGCGACTAGCCACCGATGGAAATAAAGCTTACTCACATTATCTCTTAATTTCGGCTCCAAGAGTCTAGACGGATGCTATGAAGGATTTTTTTCTAAGTTGAGCGGCCTTGATGCGGTCGCTATGGATCATTCGAGAAAAGTTGAAATGTTAACGATTAGTTTTATTACCTACTTGAAATTCACAAAAGATAACCGAACGCGAAGTTTGCCGACACCAGCCACCAAGTAGACATCGTAATGATTTTTACTACCACCACGAAATAATTCGTCGAAAGGGCAATAATTTAATAACGAACTATATTCCCGAAGGGGGAAATAAGTGAGCAAACTAACACACGAAACGGTTGTCCCAAGCTCAGCTCATACTTTCACATTAAAGTATTATTGCTAATTTATAAAAACATTTCAAAGTTAGTTGATAGTGTGGATACTATTGTGGGAGTACAAATAGTGGAGTGTTGGCCAGGCAGGGAGTAGCACAGCACAGCTCGCCAGTTCACAATTTATGTTCTTGTTGTAACGTGTGTCAGCGGACAAACACCGTGACGGCCCCGATATGTCGCTTTTATTCCTTCATTTTATTGTTTCGTATGTATTATAATACGCTTTAACTCTCGTTTGATTGATACGATCGCATTACGAAGTTACATAGTTATAGCTACAGTATTAAAGTTCACAATAATCTGCGCGTGCGCGGCTCCCTGTCTTATAGAACACAATATTATTAATATGATTCCCATTCGTGGCACACAATACGCTACATTTTATCGAGATTTTCCTTATCACATTAATTATAATCTCATGTTTCATGTTATTTGCTTTCATCTTGTTACTGACATGGGAACAACCAGATAAATTCTCAAAGCTTTTATGTAATTCGAAAAATTTTTCTTTCTTTCATTGTTATGTGTGCTTGTGACACTCTTATATACAAGCATAATGTCCTGTCCCTATCTTTATATAACCTATTATATGCATATAGCATATATATGTATATTTTAATACACCATAGGTGGTGTAAAAAAACCAAGAATGGAAACCCTTGTGTCACACTTCCAGCAACGTTCTGAAATTTAATTATACTATAAATTTAATTAAATCTTTTATATACGGGCGATAAGGGCCTATAATTATAATACAAAACTTGTAAATAAATAAAATTTATGTTATTCACATGGAAGCGACGGAACACCACGTCCTGTGGCCAGAAACTATCGTCAACCCGAGGTGCAGGACACACGTTGGCACTTGGACCACGAGCGTATTGTAGTTCACGTTATGTGCGCGACTCCAGCAGCTGCTCTCTCGGGGCGTAATTGAGCTTCTGAAGACCGTACTCCACGATGTCTTCCTCTTAAGTGGTGTAATGTAGACGGGAGATGTACACCGAGGTGCTCGGGCCGTGCTGCAGCGATTCTTGTTGTTTCTCTTCCTCTCCTTCCTCCTTTGCATCTTCACAAACCCTCGGTCGGCCCTCTACGTGCATAGGCTTCGTATATGATGGCAATTTTGTTTTACACGGCTATAGTGATGCGCTGTTGCTTTGCACATATCTACAACATGTACACTCTACGATTTTACTCAATGAATAATAATTGCTTCTGATGTTGCCCCGTGTTTATTGCTAGCGTCAGTGGTTGTTGCACGTGTCGCCATGTCGCGGCATCTGTTTGTAGTATTGACGTTCGCGACATGTCTTTATTGCTTTCTTTCTCCTCTGGGATGTCTCGTTGTTGTTTCAAGCCATTACTTCTCACTCCTTTTACCTTAAATACGACAGACAGAGACCTGGTTAGATATTTAAATAGTTTCTTTCTTTTTAAAAAACGTTGCCCCACTCTAGGTCTTTTTCCTGTGTCGTGGTTGCGTTTACAAACATACAATTTCACACACACTGGACATGTTACAACAATCTTTGAATCACACAGAGTAGTTCCGTGTGGGAATTAAGTACGTTACAGCAGCCAGTTGCCCCGCCAATGAGCCACCCGTGCAGTCCACGTATAGTCCACATACTATTTAGTTAGAAACAGCAAAAGGAAGGATTTTTTCTGTGTGTTTGTACTCTTTTGAGAAATATACGTAAATAATGTACATGATGCAGCCAACTGGTAAAATAGAGACCTTTGATCGCAGTACAATTTTAGTAGCTGTTTATTTGCAATGGCGATTCGATTTCTGTGCGGTTCACAATTCTAACCTAACCGAACCTACCATTCTGATAGCAACTCGGTTTTCATGACCATCCCCTCACCCTTCAACTTACAGCCTGAAGGCTGGCTGCATTCAGGCTGTTAGTTAGATGGCTGATTCAACTATTTGCGACATATAATAATATATTTTGAAGAGTTTATTTCATAGTACAAGAATGTAATAAATAGCATTGTATAACACATATTGATTTCAACTAGTAAACTAGAACAAGACAGCTGTAGACAACAACGGGTTACTCAAAGAAAGCAGAAACAGTGGAAGTGTGTGAATAAAACAAGATTACTTGAATATAATTATTTAATTCATTTGTTTGTCGGAGCCTCGACACGGCAACAATAGTTCGTGAACATCGGCGATTGATTGGCTCACACAGCGGCCAATCTGC